GGTCTGAAAATAAATTATTGGTGAAGTTTTAATCTCGGGAATGTATTGCAGAATTAATGCAGTTTCTGCAGCACATTCCATTTTGATTTAATTTTTCGCCACTTGTAGAATCGAACAAATTATTGAATTTTGGGTGACAGTAAATTTATATGTCTACTTCATTTCTGGAAATTTTCATGCACATTGGAGGAAGACTGAATTTTGGTGAATTATTTAGTCTCGCGTATGTACTGCAGAATGTTTTCCGTTTCTGCAGCACATCCTATTTCAAATTTGCTTTTAGTACAGCTGATTAAACCTCAAAAATTATGAAATTTTAAAATATGTCAGATCAATATGTTTACTTTGTTTCTGAATATTTTCATATACATTGGATGAAAATTAGTTTTTAAGTGAATTTTATTCTTAGGTTTGTACTGCAGATTTTATGTAGTTTCTGCAGCACATCACTTTTCGAATTCACTTTTTGGGTCACTTGGAAAAATTTTAAAATCATGAAATTTTGTGAAATAGTATCTATATGTGTCTAATTCATACTTGAAAACTTTCATGGCAATCTAACGAGAATTGATTTTGAGTGAATTTGCAAACTAAAGTAGTATTGTTGAGTTTTTTGAATTTCTAAAACTATATATGTTCTGAAATATTATTTTCAGTGATTTGTGCACATCTGTTGGTATCAACTATTTGACATGTTTAATTGCTCCTATTTGTTCTTATCTTGTGCAAATTCTCAATACTAATGACTTTTATTAAGCAACACTGATTAAATTTGGTTGAAAAGAATGTATTGGTCTATTTTGCTCAAACCAATATTTTGTTTGGTCATCAATTTTGATTATGATGATCATTTTCTTTTGAGACAAAAATTGGACAGTGATGTCAGTTTTCTAATTGATCACTTTGGTCTCTATCGAATAACTGAATAATCATGCTTCCTCCGTCGAGAACTCTATTGTTCAATGTTAATAGCGACATACTCTTGTGTCTGATTTAGTCTTTTGAGAATCATTGAATATCCAACAAAACGGTTATTTAATATTGTTCGAAAAGATTATTTTGAAAAATCAGAATTCTAATTTATAAGGTGAATACTTTTGTCCCAATGGAAATTTCAGGAAATCACTCACCAATTATAAATTAGTATTATAGCAAATCATAAAATACTTTTAACATATGTTCATCTGGCCAAAGCTGTTGAAGCTATATGTATTTTGTGTATTTTACGTTTTGGCTAGCTATGCAGGTATTTTCTTTGCATGATTAGTTTCTGCCCAAAGGTGTAACAATTATGCAATTTGAAGTTGGTTCGATCCTCCACAACTCGACTACTTCCATGATGAATCTTGCAGAATCGAGAATGAGTAGGTAAATTTGCCAACCTTTTGCCTTAGTTTTCTCTGAGTTCTAAATTGGATTAAAATTGATGTTATTGAGATATCTAAGTGTTTATTTTAATCGACTTTGTTTTAGAATTAAAACATAAATTTTGAGTTTGGATTTTCTTATTAGGTTTCATTTTAATTTATGACCTAATCTTTAACAAATATGTGAGTCATCTCTCATACACTAAAATGAAATAAAATTTGTATTCATTGCATAAGTTTTTATTTATGGAACTTTTTAATTCTAACGTACTTTAAAAAAAAAAATTATGTATTTGATCTTTATTGATTCAAGTAGGCTGTATTTTGTTATATGAAAACCACTTTCTCTAGTGTTTAATCTTGCAATTTTGAGTGTTTACCCAAGTGGGAGAAATAATGTATTATGGGCTTCACACTTATCAATTTTGCATGTTTTTAATGGTCATAGTTTTGGTAGATAAAACGTACATTATCATACTTGTTTATATTTTATATATGCAGCTAATCTTGCAGGAAATTTAAGAAGGGTTAATGAGTATATTCTGCTCAAAAGTGTTTTGCTTATTAATTCTTATTTGTTGTTCAAGAAATTGGACTTGTGATTTATATGTTATTGATGGATAATTAATCTGCTCAAAAGTGTTTTCTTATTCAGTACAAATATAAATCAATGTATAGTGAAACATGAAATTGACAAAATTGCATATACTTCATCTGGTCAAAAGTGTTGAAGCTATATACGTTTGCCCTTGTATTTTATGTTTTAGCTATACAAACCTAATATAATTAGTTTCTGTCCAAAGATGATTCTAGAATTATATGCTTTTGATGCAATAAGAAAACATTCAGTTAAAGTTTTCTATTTCTGTCAATTGTTAGATGAACAAAACTGACCAAATAATTTTGTATAGTTTTTCAGTCATGAGAATCACCTCCCTATAGATATCTAGAATAAAGATGTTGAGCTCACAAATTTTATGTTCTATATTCCATGATTAATGTTTTGCTAGTGGGAGTACTTGAAAGGTATCTGTTTCATTTTGTAGGCATTTATAAAGTTTTCTTTTACTCTCTTAGTCAATGGGAGTAATAATTTGTTTATCTCTGCTAATCAATGGGAATAAGAGATTACCTTTTGTGTTGAAAACTTGAAGTGTTAGTGGCTGATATTTTAAGAGTAAATTTTGTTTAAGTTTTGTTCATAAGTTTTAATAAGAGGTCCTAATTTTGTAAATAGTATGTCGTATTTTACTTGTTCTCTTATCATATTCTAAATTGACAGAAAAGTTAGATTTTGTTACCAACGTTGTTGAGTTCTTTTGTGAACTACTTTTCGACTATTGTGAGCTAATATTTTGACTATTAGTTCTTGACACCATGATTTGTTAGCAACAAAGTGCTTTAAGTTGAATGTGTATATGATCTTGGAGTGCAAGGAATAGACCAAGTTGTTCTTTGTTTTTCTTTGGTTCCGCATTCGATTCAAAGTGACAGGTTGTTAGGAAAGGTTGTTGCATACTTACGAAGACTTAGTGATTACCATGAGTTCTTATTTGTTAGGATAAATCATTGACATTCAAGTGGGAGAATGTAAGGTTGTGATGACAATGAATGATGTATTGGATTACTTATGTTGTAGGCCACTTGTTTATCGAGTTGTTAACAACTTAAGTAATTTGATAGTCCTAATGAAATAAGGATTATGGAGTCTTAACCTTTGCAATTGACCTAAAGAAATCTGATGGATTTCACTACAAAGATATAGTATCATGGTGGGACTTAAACACTTAAGTGATAGGGTTTCACAACCAATAATAGGCTGGCTGTGATTAAACCTTAATGATATAAATACTATGGTTAAGTCCCTGCTTCCATACGCTTAATCTCTCAGATACGTTGAACCCTATTCATATAGCAGAGAGATATTATTAAAGTACTGGAAGTAGAAGACAACCTGTGAACTCAAGCCACCATGTCTCCAATCGGTGCAGGTTAGTGTCATTCATCTTCTTCTTTCCGTTATCATGATGCATGTTAAATTGTGATCCTAGAACCATGTTGAATTAGTCCCCCTTACACTTTAATGTTGATAATTAGCCATGATGATTCCTATTCCGACTTTCGTAGGTAAGTCGATTGTAGTTTGAGAGGCTATATAGGATAGGTCCCTACATTCACAATGATATGTTTTTATATTGAGTTAAGCCCTAATGGATAGTAGAAAACACTTTCGATTTTTTGAGTGTAGAAGACTTATTTCACCCATTGCTGAACATGTCTTCTAGATCATTCTTATGAGTCAACTCTTCTTCTACATATAGACTTGGTAAACAGGTCGTGTTTTGTATCGTTTTTGTGTAACACCTGTTATCTTAATGGGTTGTGTCGTGTCACATCCATTATCTTAATGGGTCATTAACAAGTCGGGTCACTTTACTCAACAAGTAAAATGACCCGATCCGTTATAACTCATTAAGAAAAATATTTTTTTTCTTAAATTTGCACATATCACATGAATATTACTTCAAAATATAAAAACACATTTGTCTTTAAGTACTACATAGAGCCTAATAAAAAAGTACCAATACACTACTAGTCTACTACAGAATATCAAATGTGCAAAGATATGCAAAATGAATGAGTTTTTCTTTTTAAGGCTGTGAAGCCTTTCTCAGAAGTTAAAACCTTACCAATGAAACTTAAAACTTGCATGTTATTCCTTTTACAAAATCCATCAATTTTCATTGATCATCATGGGAAAATTGTATTAGAACTTTGGCGCCTTTAAGAGTTCTATTGATGATGTTTTCAATAAGGTTTTCCAAATCAGAACTCTCTTCCACATAAACTAAGTATAGAAAACCATACATTATAAATCATTCAAATTATGAGAAGTTTATGATTATGAAAAGAAATAAAACAATAGTACTATACAAGATAAAAATATATTACCTCATTTTTATCAAATTTTCGAAATTTAATTTAATATATATAATTATTATCGTATATAATATTATATATATATATATATAATATTATATATATATATATAATATAATTGTGTGTGTATATATATATATATAATTATTATAATATTTTTAGGATATAAAATTATTAAATTAATATTTTGCTTATCGTGTATCGGGTTATTCACGTGTATACTTGGACCAATCTGTTATGTTAATATGTGTTTATCGAGTTACTCGATAACGACCTAATTCGTTATCGTGTTGATTCGATAATCTATTAATTTCGTGTCATATCATATCAGGTTAACGGATTGTGTCAAAAATTACCAGATCTACTATAGATAAGTTGAATGTAATTGGCTTCGTATAGTTTAGTTTATTAAATCTGTGATCCTAATATCTTTTTTTTTTGTGATTACAGAATATATCTTACTTGTAATAGTTTCAAATTTTGTAAAAAGTTTGTAACTTTCAAATTCTGCTGAGGAAGAAAATTAAACCCACATAATTACCAGTTAAGCATTCATCTAATTGATCATTATTTCTCTATTAGAACTTGATGTGACATGGGCAATGAGATATGGCCCTGTCATGACTCCATATCCAAATGACAAATAGATAAGGCGTAAGCAACCGACCAACCGCACTCGTTGCAGTAACAGCTACCAGTGAAGAACAATTCAGCAAAGCTCTCTCTCTGGCGGAGCTGGTGGCAGTTGTGAGTGACGAAGGGTGCATGGAAACTGGTCTGTACAACTAAGTATTGGGTCTTATCAGTGACAATGGCAACGGTGGCAGTGGCACCACGTGTCCCATTGGTTATCTCAAATAATCGCATCCGCCAAAGTCATAAATGTAGTTGGGTAGGAGTTCCAGAAAATTCGACCCTTTCTTTTCAATCCACTTCATTTTCTGCTGCATCCTTGTTTATCCAGAGAAGGGCGAGAAGGGGTTTTGGGAGCGCAGGAGTTGTCACGAAGGCGATGGCGGATTCGGGTGCAAGTACAGTCCTTGTTACTGGAGCTGGTGGTAGAACTGGTACTCTCTCTCTCCCTCCTCGTTAACATAAAGTTGACTGTTTTGATTAATTTATAGGTGTTGATTGGAAGCTGGGTTTTCTAGATTATGTAGTTTTAATCCGGATTTTGGTTTTTTTTTTTTTTTTTTTTTTCTAATAAAGATAAGATAATCACACTAAATTCAATTAAGCTACGGGGAGGAGGATTAGAACCTGAGTGCATAGGATGGAACTTGGTGTTCTAGCTAACTTGGCTAAACTCAGATCTTCGGATTTTCTGGATTATGAATCTATAATACTGAGTGAGTCATGGACTAGATATATTTAAGAACTTTTTGTACAAAGCATTACAAGATGCGTAGTATTTGGGTTGTGGGATTTATGGTGGGGCAATGGGTTTTGTGGGGCTTTCACGTCTGCGCATAGAACCCTTTTTTTTCCTCAGTCCCATAGTGTGTGAGCAGAAATGTGTGAGATAATTGGGTGTTTGGAGAAGCATGTCTGATGGAGTGGGGGAGATTCCCGGTGTGTGCACCGCTGTAAGGGTACGCGGGTTTAGGGTTTAGGTTTCCTGATTTAAATAACAGTCAGTGCATAGTGAATGTGAGTTGAACTTAACATCTAAGGCAATGAAATTGTGTTTTGTTACTGTCAATGTGTTTGTTTTGGATTATATTTACTCATTATCTATGGTGATGGAAGCAGAAGAGGAAGTCGTTTTTCCTCCTCTGTTTGAGGAAAGGGTTTGTGATTTAGATGTAGTATTGGTGGAAACTTGGCAGGTAAACTGGTTTATGAGAAGTTAAAGGAGACGTCAGACCAGTTTGTGGCTAGGGGTCTGGTTAGGAGTGAAGAGAGCAAACAGAGCATTGGTGGAGCAGATGATATTTATATTGGAGATATAAGGGATGCTGACAGCATTCTACCTGCAATCCAAGGGATCGATGCTCTCGTTATCCTTACAAGTGCTGTGCCTAAGATGAAACCTGGATTCGATCCAACTAAAGGTGGGAGGCCTGAGTTCTATTTTGAAGACGGGTCATATCCTGAACAGGTAGTTCTGTCATTTTTATGAATTTAGGATCACTGTAAATACCAATCTCTGTTTTATCCTATTGTTCTGTTTTACCCTGTTGTTCTGATAGATGGGTTTGCATTTTAGGTTGATTGGATTGGACAGAAAAACCAAATAGATGCTGGTGAGAATTTTTATCCTTGTTTCCATTCATTCAAAACATGGTTCATTTTAGCTTTGAGTTTTGAATTACATGACAAATGCAAACAGCTAAGGCTGCGGGAGTGAAGCAGATTGTGTTGGTTGGGTCTATGGGTGGAACGGATCTTAACAATCCCCTGAACAAATTGGGTGATGGCAATATATTGGTAAGTACTCCTTTACTACATTTGAATTACCGCCTTTTGTGGTTGCTTTTCGGCTTTCTGTTTGTGGAAATGGAATTTGACTTTGCTGATCTATTCCTTCCTGTTTATATGTTAATTATAAATGTTTATGCATTATGTTTACTACTCAGGTTTGGAAGAGGAAGGCTGAGCAGTATTTGGCTGACTCCGGAATTCCATACACAATCATAAGGTTGGTCCAGTTACATTCAGACTTGTTCAAACAATATGTTCGTATTAAATAGACTCTGTAACATCACTAGCTGGTTTTGTTAGTACTGTTACCAGAAAAATGGAAGTCTTTTTATGACAACAACCCTCACAATGATGATGTAAGAAGCCATTGTTTATGCTACTTTGCTTGGGTTTTATATTTTTTTTCCAACACAATGTTTGAGAACTTCTAAAACACCAAAACATCCCTTTATTGTTGTGACCCCTGATGAATACGGATACTAAAGCTTGTCTGCTGGAGCGATTGACAAATACCTAGATTTCCTTTCATACTATAGCTTGTCCGCGCGTTATGTGTATCAGTATAGCATACAATAGAAGCTCAAATCACTGAATTCTATACCTTATACTTCTAACTACTCATGTTTTGATTGATTGTTCTTGTTATTCTACTTGACTTCCAATTGACCTAAATCTCCATGGTTTTATTAGGGCCGGAGGCTTGCAAGACAAAGAAGGCGGCATCCGTGAACTACTTATAGGGAAGGATGACGAGCTTCTTAAGACCGAAACAAGAACCATTGCTAGACCTGATGTAGCAGAAGTCTGCATTCAGGTATTGTGTACAGGGGTGTGCAAATAAACAGTTTCACAGTTTCTCAGCATCAACTTTTCAGGCAATGGCAATGTATTGTACTGATTTGTTTGCTTTCTATATTTTGATCAGGCACTGCAGTTCGAGGAGGCCAAGTTTAAGGCATTTGATTTAGCCTCAAAGCCGGAGGGAACTGGGACACCGACCAAGGATTTTAAGGCTTTGTTTTCCCAGATCACAACCCGATTTTGATCTTTGGCTAATATCTGTAATGCCAAAGAGAACATCTTCCCTTGTGAGTTTTGTTTTGTTTGTACTGGGAAACAAAACAGCAGAAAAGGAACTAGCATGTGTGTGCAGTTTGAACAATTTTAATATGTAATAAAGGGATCAAGGAATTAGCGTATGTCTGCACCAGAGTTTGTTTTTGTACCTTTTTCGTAGATTGGTGTGTGGATTTTGGTGTTCATTGACGGGGAAAACACTTAAAAAAGACTTTCTTTTGAAGAAAAAACTCATGATTTGATTGTTGAAGTGTTTCTCGACCTTCCTCGAACTTAAATTGGACTGTAAGGCCACCTCCAACCAAAGGAGGGTCAGAAGGCTCGTTTTAGTCCTAATAGTCCTTCAAGAAATTAATATTTTAATGAATAGTTCCAGGCTATATTTCTTAGATCATTTCAGCCAGAGGGTTCGTTTTAGCCATTTGGCCTTCCAAGAAATTAATATTTTAATGAACAGTACAGGGTCATATTTCTTAGACCATCTCTAACCAAAGGGTCCAAAGGACCAGAGGGTCGAAAATAGTCTGAAAATCGTTTCCAACCGAGGGCTAAGCCAAAGGACTCGTGGGCCCCACGAGAAAAAAAAAGGGTCAAAGGGCCAATCGGCTGGCCCAATCCAGCCAGTTAGCCGTGGGCCGGGCTGGATTTTTCATTATTAATATATTTTTTCTCGGATATATCCAACAATATTGTCCTCCTTTTTTTTTTGGGCCAAAATTTTTAATTTTTTTTTTTAAATTCCTCTTTTTTTTCCTATAAATACTTAAGTCATTCCTACACTATTTTTCACATAATTTTCACCATTTTTAAATTTAAGTTGATGTAGTTTTTAAATTTAAATAATAAATTATGTTTGGCCCTATGACCCTTTAGCCCTCGGTTAGAGACGGTTTTTTGTCACATGGCTAAAACGAGCCCTATAATCCTTTGGCCCTCGGTTGGAGATGGAGGCAAATATGGCCCTGTACTGTTCATTAAAATATTAATATCTTTGAGGGTCAGAGGGCTAAAACGAGACCTCTAGCCATCGTTCGGTTGGAGATGGCCGAAGGGTCCAAAGGGCTAGTGGGCCGAAAATAGCCCGAAAATTGTCTCCAACCGTAGGCTAGGCTAAAGGATTCATGGGCCCCACAGGAAAAAAAAAGGCCAAAGGGCCAATTGGCTGGCCCAATCAAGCCAACCAACCAATTGGATGGCCTAAACCCTATATTTTCTTACATCTGCCAATAATCTTTCCTTCAATTTTTTTAATAATTTTCAAATGGCCTCATCTGCAATGAAAGGTGGGGCTTGGACCCGAAAAGAAGATGAAGCTCTTTGCATGACTTATAGATGGGTGACGAAAGATAGTGTGAAGGGAGTCCTCACACGCCCATGATGAATTTGTTGGGGGGGGGGAGACTTTGGCCAAAGAACCTCCGATGCCAAAGTTAGAATTTTGAGGGAAAAGTGTTTGAAAATTTTAAAGAGTTTGGCAAGAGAATTGGAATTTTGTTTTCGAGAGAATGAGAGGGCTTATATAGGGATGTGGCCGGCCACCTTGGGAGGAGATGTACCGGCCACTTGGATGGTTTTGTGGTTAATTAGCTAATTAATGGAATAATTATTTAATTAATTAGCTAATTATTATAATAAAAAGGAAGGATTTTGGGGTTACCTTGTGGAGAAGATATGATGAGGATGAATGAAATAGGTTGTAAATAAATACCTATTTGGCCACTTTTGACTTGATTGAGGGATGATTGTCCATTGCTCGAGCGTAGGAGTTCTGGTGTGCCTCGAGGGTAATTTTGTCCTTTTTGCCCAAAAATCCACGTCTCGCCTCTTGATTATTTTTGGCTCCACAAATGCCTCCACACCTGTTTGGATGCTCGCAAGAAAGGGCAGCAAGTGTAGAGATCTTCTTGCTTGAGGAAAAATAAGATTGTTTCTTATTTTGATGCAGATTCCCTCTTTAATTGGAAATTAGATCCTTCTAGGAAAGGGAAATCAATTTCTCTCATAGCCTATTTAAGTCCACCTTAAGTGGATTATTAAATTAACTTTAGAGAGTGTTTTATTCTACCTTACAAGAAAGATAGAGCTTAGAGGATATTTGTTCCCCCTCCTCTAGCAATCTTCTACATCTTGCCCGTGCAAATGATCGTCTTTCATTGCTACATCTTCTCCGTACTGCACCGAGGTAAGAAAATTTTAATTTTTCTTGTTTTCTTTTTTGATAGTGTTGTCGCAGGGCAGCCATCGGGGTGGGGCGGCATGTCGACTGGGAAGGCACAGGAGTCGGCATAGCATGGGCCAAGGAGGTGTTGTGGCAAGGACCACTACTTGGATTGTATGGCTTGGCTAGCGCCAAAGGCAGCTTGTTCAGCTGGGGTCGCGGATTGAGACGTTGGGGCACAATGCTAGGCGAGCCGCATGGCTCATGTCTTTTGGGCTTTTAGACCTGACGTGGGCCAATCCAGCGATTGAGAGAAATGAAGAGGTTACGAACTCATGAGCTGCTAGAATGTTAGGCATGCAGACATCCTGCCTACTGGTCTGAGAGAAAAAAATAAGGGAAAAGCCAGTTATGGGTTGAGCTCCCCTGCTAAGTACTGTGAATGACGTTGGCTGCTTAGTTTTCCTCGCTGGGAGAAAGGTGGGGTGCTTCTGAGAAATGAGGTAAAGAGGATCAAGGAGGATGCATTGGCTCGTTTGATTGCTGTCATGGAGCCTATTATGAATGAAGGTGGAAAAAAAAGATCTTCCCCTACTGCTCAAGAGATACCGGTTGAGAAAAAATTGAAGACTTCCTCCGTTGCTCATGAGGGTCCGCATGCTGTTCAAGAGATACGGTAGGCTACCTTAGTGCACTCGATAGTAACTTTAGGGTTCTAGGGCAGCCATTCATGGGGTGTACTGCGTAATGTGCCTTCTCCGTTTCTAAGGCCCGGTTCCTCGCGGATTAGGCTAAGAGACCCAAAATCCTTCCGTTAGCTAAGCCTTGAAAAAGACTATTGTGGCTACTTCTAGGAATCTCAGCGCAAGCCATCGTGCACCTAGTTATACTAGGGCAGCCCGACTCATCCACGTCTGGATATTTGGAGTGTAAGTTTATCCTCCTGCCTTAGAGAGCAGACCCATGTGGGTGTCGGGGACTTGGTTTACCCTCTCGCACTGAAGAACATGGTTGGTCCCTCGGAGGGTGCAATTCCTACGATAAGTCCCTAAGAAAGGCTCGATCTTCTTTTAAAGTGCAGGAGTGATCAATTATTGTAAGCATGCAACCAAGCCAAGTTGTAGATTACTTCTGAATTCCTTATTGAAAAACGAGTGAAACGAACAAATAACTTAGCTGTAAGGGACAACATAACAACTGATAATCATCGGCTTGCGAGGTGATGCCTGTCGAGCTGCTTAAGTCTTCGGGTCTTGATATAGTGGGAGGTCACACATGGTACTTCCTTAAGTTGTAGGTGTTTCATTGCTTCTCGATCTCTTTGTCGTTCATGGTAGCGAGGGTGTAATTACCCTTGCCGCCTACTCTGCTGATCTTGTACGAACCTTCTTAGATGGGATCCATCTTTTTGGAGCCTTATTTACAGGCAGTAATGAAGGCTTTTCTTAGGACTAGATCTCCAAGTTAGAACTATCGGATCTTGGCCCTTCTGTTGTAGCTGGAGAAAAGCTGCTACTGGTAGGCTGCGATGCAGGTGTTGGTCTGCTCGCATTTCTCCTCTGCCAGATCTAAGCTTGTGGGCATCTCATTTCCATTCTACTCAATGCTTGGCAGTAGAGTGCTAGCACAATGACATTGGGAGGAATGATTGCTTCTAAACCAAATGCTAAAGAGAAATGAGCCTCACAGGTTGCTCGTCTTTTAGTGGTGCGATATGCCTATAAATATCTGGGGAACTCGTCTGGCCATTTTCCCTTCTTATTGGTGAAGGATTTCTTGAGGCAATCGAGGATCGTCTTGTTAGATGCTTTGAAGCCTAGAGTGATCGCCCGCTCGGGCATTTAACCGTTTGGGGTGACAAGGACCATGCTTACTCCAGAAACCTTTGTAGTTAGATGCACCGTCAACATACAAATGCTAGAAGTCTTCATCGGATGGAGCAGGCGCGCCTAGGGCGCGCTCGGCTACCTCTTGGGCGTCGTTAGGCCACTCTGTTGTGTCGCCTAGGCTAGGCTTGTAGTAGGGAGCCATGGAACTGTCGTTGGGTCGCCCTGTTACACGCAGTAGGAGGTGCTCAACAACCGATATTGGGCCACTCTAGAGTTGAATTATAGAGCAAAGGTCGGCTGGGGCCATATGACATATAGCAGGAGGTGGTGTTCAACTGCCGGTACATGTTGCTCCTATGTCAAATTAGGGTAACGAGGACAAAACTTATTTTCGAGTGTGTTTTTCTAGTGTTCATCTAGCCTTGTCGCGCATTTTGGGCCAAGTTGTTGCGTTCGTCAGAAAACTTTGCATCTGCCAGTGTCTATGCTTTTATCGTTACGCGTCTTGATTAGGCAAAATAGTGCATTATGAGGATAATTGTGTGCCTTTGAAGGTAAAACTTGAGCTTCCATGTTGCAACAACACTCACCAAAGTTAGCTTTTGAATTTCTGATAGCATCGAGAAGAGCTTTTAAACTGTGGAATACAGGTAGTCGAGCCCTCAGCTCTTCTCGTATGATGCTAAAGCTTATTGCTGCTTCAGATACCGTCAAACATGCGAATAAGTCATCCGCTGCTTCCGGTTTGGGTAGTAGGAAGGTGATGTCGGGTACTTCTTCAAGTCCTTGAATGTATATCGACGAGCCTCGTCCCAAAGTGCATGTTTCTCTGTCAGAGTGAAAAAGTATACCAGAGTTAGATCTTCTTTCATGATCAATTTTTCGAACAGCGGATGATCTGCTAGAAGTCATTTTTGAAAGGCTGCTCTAGCTATCGAGCCGTTGCATCCCACTATCATTGCCTTCTCTGCTTTGAACCTCTTCACATAGTCGCGAAGCGACTCTTTTAGGTTCTTCTTAACGTTGAACAAGTGATCGGACTTCTTCTTGATCGAGCGATAGGATGAATATTCTATGGTGAAACTCCAAATAAATTGTGGTGGCAGGGTATAAGACCAATCTTGCGTCTCGCCTT